AATCATAATGAGGAAAAAATAACAATGCCGGAAATTTTTTTTTAATATCATTTAAAATAATAACTCTTTTATTCGGGATTTTAAATTTCGCGGGAAATCAAAAATTTTTTATTGTATCTTACTATATATTATTTTTTTGTGCCACACATATTAGATGTTTAAATAAAAAAAAACTTGTTTTTTAAAAAAAAATTTTTTTTTGTTTTACAAAAAAGTCAATATTAAAGAATTTCAAAAATTTTCGATCCAACTGCTTAGCATCGAAATATTAACCTTGCACACATATATCAAATTGATAGATAGACAACATGCATTTATATTGTCTTGTATATTATTAAAAATAATTATCATTTAAATAATAAATACCTAATATTAGAATATTAATAATATTATTAATTAAACACTAATATTAATTAATTCTAATATTAACATTAAGATTATTAAGAAATACAATTTTTTTTGTCAATAATAGAAAATTTAATTAAAATTAATTAAAAAAATGTTATAGATAATAATCTTTGATTCGTAAAGATGATCACACAAAATAATATTATTTCCTCCTCGTTCAACCAACTCATTCATCCATTCACCCATTCATTCATTCTAAATTACTTCATGTAACTCGGCTATGGCCACACTTTTACCACGTTTTTTTATTTTTATTTTTAAATTTCACTAAAAAGGATATTATTAGCCAACCCAAAAAATATTTAATTTAATCACGAGGGATAAAGTAATTTATAATGGGGTTTTGAATTGAAGAATCTTATTAGTTCTCGGTTTCTTTTATTTGCTCACAACAAACAACACCTTTAACTATTAGTTCAATTTTCCTCTCTTCTTTTTTTCTTTTTATTCTTCTTTTTGTTCTTTTTGTATTATTCATTTCCAAAACCATTTTTTCCATTCATAATAAAAATATACAAGAATTAAAAGTTGGGATTTTTTGTGTTTGAATGATTTTTATTTTTTCGGCTTTGATTGGTTTAGGTTTTTGTTTGTATAATTTAAATTTAATTTATTGTATGGAGTAAGAGGGAGTCTGTGTAAAACTATCCAAATGTTTCCGGAGACAACTTTTTCTTACTTGCCGAAACATTAAACCGTACTCCCCAGGAAACACGCATATTTATAAAATTATTGTAAAATGGATTTAGCAATGATTTTTTTATAATTATTAAATCGTAGATATTAATTACTATTAATTACCATATATAATAAATAATAAATATAAAAAATATAAAAATTACCGGGTGCTTTTGTTTATTTTATTTTATGCATTGTTGTCCCTGCATAAATATATAAAAAAATTATATAGAATTCAATTCAAACCTTACAAAATGTATAAACATATGTGCAAGTAGTGTTTCTTTTTTGTTTTTTACATATGTATGTAATGTATACAATGTATGTAGCGTATCTTTTACTCCGCATAGGGGTTTTTTTGTGTTTTGCCAAAAAAAATTTTTTTTTTTCGTTGAAGAAAGAAAATCTTAATAATGCAGTTTTTCTCAACAATTACACATGTATTCATTATATAAATGTAAAATCTGATCTTTTTCTTTCTAAAAATCAAAAACACCTGATGATAGATCAAGGAGATTATTATTTTTCTTCTTGGTAGAGATTTTAGTAAATTATAACAGCTAACTATCAGCAATAAGACATCACATTTTTTATGCCGGAAACGTACGTGTCCAACATGCCTCGGTGACGATGATCAAATACAAAAACAATTAAATGATGATTCATAATGAATCATTTTCAACATATGCGAATTATTATGTAAAGGAAAAAAAATTTTTTTAATATTAATATTCCTCACAACCGATGACATTTAATCCAACCTACAATTGATTTAATCAATCTGTGACAAAAGACTAAAGGTCATCATCACCAACAATACATTGTGATTGGTATTAATCGCATAATTAAGGTCATATGGCTTACAAAAAAATGCCCAAGAAAGTTCAATTCTATAAAGACTTGCTAAATAACTGCATAGACTATGATCGAGATTAATTTTAAATAATATTGGATTGTTACAATCATAATAATAGCAACAACAACAATAATAAGATAATAATTGATTGATAGTAATTGTTTTTTGTCGTCTTTCATTACTATTATTAAAATTTTTGATCGTGTTTTGCAATACAAAAAGACAGATTCTTCTTCTTTCATATTAAAAAAGACAGATTCTTTTTTTTTTCGATAACACAATACAGACGTTTCAAGATGTGTTTATAATCCATCATTATTCTTCGTTATACTTGGATAGTTTTTCAATTTCTTCTTATTTCCTTTTTTGTTTTCCATCATTGTATTAATTGAAATAAAAAAACATTCAATTAAGTATTATAGTAATTTTACAAAGATAACATGAATTATAAAAATGGTTTCATCCATTGATCATAAATTTACATTCTACAATTCAACATATTTTGGAATCTCAGAAACAAACCAAAAAAAAACAAAATCAAAAGTTCTAATAAATTAAAATTCCAATTTCATTTGTTTTTTTAAAGAAAATAAAGTTTGTGTCGTTTCAAGAATTATTTATAAATGCAAAAAAAAATTTTGTTCCACGGCATTTAAAACGCTTTTCAAAATGCCCGTTTTAGTGATTTTTTTAATTATTCTTTGAAAGTTTTGAAATTTCAAATTAATTAATATTTGGCCTTTATTTTTCTAGCGCAATTTTATCATATCATCGTAATCTGATATTCATACGATTTCCATGTATTCAATATATTCGCTAGATAGTAATGTCCAAATCTCGAATTGAACTACCTAACCCACTTAACACTAACACAGACTTACTCGAGTAACCGATCCTCAGAATAATAATATATCAAGTGGTATAACATACGCGCGTGCATACAGCATATTTTTTTTATATGTGCGTAAAAAATTCGCTATAAATGAACTAAACAGGTTCCTGATCAAGTTTAAGTTCATATATGTAAAAAAGTACAAGTGGTGAAGAACAAACAATGCTATAAATAATCATTATTTATCATTATCATTGTTTAATTTTTTTTTTTTTTTTTTTAAGAGATCAAAGAATAAGAAATGAAATAGTGTGATTGAAAGAAAGAATTTCTCTGGTCACACATATTTGCACATTCACACGTGCATATTATTACTATATTAAGAATGATAACATATTAGTTATTATTATTTATTATTATTATCATCACACTCAGTAGTGATTTCGAATTTACGTGAGCAAAAAATCGCGTGAAACAATAAGACTTTAATTAGGCAGTGTACGAGGATGTACAAGTGTAACGCTAATTCCCAAATTTGTCGTTATTACTTGAAGATAGAAGTGTTTTTTAAAAGTTTAATATATAAAACTAATTGTAGTATTATTGAAATAATAAAAACAAAAAAATATTAATTAACAGTTTAATTAACGGTACTCGTGATTAAGGTTTTAATCATCATTATTAAATATAATAATAATAAAGAACATAGATTGGTGTCTTTAATTCTTAAATTTAAAAAATTTTTTTTGTATGTATGAACTTTTGAAAAATATGTGTAAAGGATAAGGAAGGAATGAAAATTTTTTCCCAATGTTATTTATCTTATTGATTATTTTCTTCTTTGTCTGATGGTTAGCGTTATGTAAATACTAATCATTAGATAATTATGGCAATATTTCTGATTGCTCAATTGATGGATTTAGTCATTTATCGTAGTAATATAGATGTGTAATTAAATTTTATTATTACCAAAAAAATTAGCATAATTAAATATTAATTGTTCTACAATTATATCAGAACAAGGAGAAAATTTGACGAAGAGAAGAATGAAGAAAAATCAATTAATAAAGAAATAAGGGAAGGCCCTTTGTTTTCTTTTTTCACTAATAAATTAATGTTAGGTAAACATTAGATGGATAAAGGAAAGAGGGTAAATTCTAGTAGCAGCAGTAGTGGTAAGCATTAGATTATAAGTGATGGATATTAGTGGCATTCATTCATTTACTAATTATTAGAATATCATTCATTTTAAAGATCATTTTATTTAATAACATTTTATTTAATAACATTCTTTATTTATCAATATTAACACAAATTTAATTGATTAAATATTAACACAAATTTAATAAATTAATTTATTTGTTTGTTTTGTTTCGGATAATTTTTTTCGTGAGAGATTGATTAGTTAAAGGCGGCAAAAACAATCATGTTAGATAATCAATCCACTGTATTATACGTTAGAATAATCTTCGTTTTTATGCAATGACAATAATTTATTTATGTCATATCATTTTTATTGACTAACGAAGAGAGCGGGAGGTGGATTCATTTGAAAATTTTTTCCATGATAAATATTGGCATTTTGATAGGATCAATGTTAAAATTGTGGTACATAATACAATCATTGCTACATGAGAGGAGGATCTGTCTGTACAATAAAGTTTGGGCTATTTTTTATTATTAAAGAATAGCTGATATACTGTTTTAGTAAATTAAAAAAATATTTTTTTTTTTTTACAAAAAAATATAAAAATATAAACTTATCTCCTGACTCTTTATACCGTTATTCATGCCATTTAATAAAAATTAAATCATCATAAGGTTTTTTTTCTATATGTTGAATCACAATAATATTGGTAAACAATGTTTAATTAAATGTTTTATTTGTGTGAAATTAAATGAAAAATCTTTGAAACAACTCTTAATTTATAATTTGGGAAACTGTGCCACAAAATTTAATATCTGTGCCAACGCCACAAAATAAATTAATTTATCAATATTTGTGTCAACTGCTCGATGATTTAATTAATCTATCATATTAAAGATTAGGATTGATACTATTGATTTCTATGTATTGAAGTCAATACAAAATGCGTAATAATTCATTTTTAGTATAATCAAGCAAAAATATTATGTAACTTTACATTAAAAAATATTAATATTAAATAACTAACCATCGATGTTACATTAATTAGTACAACAAACGAATTATTTAAATTTTCCCATCTATTCATTTATATCATCGCCGTTAGTAAGCGGTAAGGCATATATTTTTACCACGTTTAATGTGCTGCGATATTGATATCTCAGACTCAGCATCTCAGGTCTTAGATATTTCCCGTCATCTGAAGAAGCAAATAATGAGGTGAATGAGGAGACTTAGTTACTATTGTGCGTAAGGCACTCGCGAGCCGGCTCATGCGGGCGAAATGAAAAAAGACATTTCTTAAGTCGCTTTTAACAAAATTTAATAGCCAATTTATAGTTATATCAAGATAGTCTGGTAGCATGATAAAACCAACGCGTTCTTTTTTCCCTTGGATTCTTGATTCTTTTTCCATCGCCTTCGTCATTGATTTTCTTTTTTCCTTTTATCAATTTCAACATGGTTCTTCTGTCTTCTAATCACTGATCTTATTACTATACAAACCCACAATCATCTTCTTACCCTCACTAGCAGGAACTCTGGTAATCGACAATGCTTTGTCTATAAATAATCAAACAAGCATATCCTTTATTAAGAGCACACATTTACCACCATGTCTCTCACACATACAGCACCTGGTCAAAACTTTGGAACACACACAATAAACATATATGGATTTATGTTATTCGTAGCTTAAGTTCTTATGAACATCTGTGCAAAATTGATGCCTTTAGGTTTCGTAAACTCGAACGAATAAAGAAAATGAACTTTGATTGAATTTTGGTAACCAAAATTTTTGACACAACGTTTTTAGAAATCGACAAAGAATCTATATGGTAACATGTTTGAAAATTTTGTACATGAAAATTCAAGTTTTGCTGGTTCTGGGAATATATTTATTACATATTTTTAACTTTCAAAAAGGAAGTCTAATTTATACTGAAGCTCAACGTGGATAAATAGTTAACATTTATAGAAAATGGAGAAGTATTTCTAAAGCGTTTGGCTTCCCACTACAACAGTATTTCAAATTTTCAAAAAAAAAAAAAAGTTAGTATAGCAAATTTACCAAGAAGTGGTCTCCCGAAAATTTTAAATACCGACTGACCATCGACAAACATTAAAAATTATTGTTAAACGTAACGATCGTAAATTATCTGAGGCCATTTTAATCAGGAAACTCGTTTATAGAAACTATTATAAGAAGTTTGCATGAAATAAACATGTTCCTGCTTCTAAACCTTTGATTAGCAAAGGATAAAATTTTTGAATTGGAGCCTATAAAAGAAATATCGAAGCGTAAGAAAGTGAAAAAATATCATTTGGAGTGATGAGAGTGGGCATAGAATATTTAATAATGATGGTCTTGAAGAACTCTAAAACAGATTAAATATTGAAAAACTTAGATCAACAATAAAAATTGATGGTAAAATGAACCGGCATGATTATATTTAAGTACTGGAAACAAATTTGTTGCCCTTGATTTAATGGGCAGGATATCCGTTTCAAGATGGTAATGCTCCCGCTCACACTGCTAAAAATGTTCAAGAGTGGTTGAAAATAAACAAAATCAAAAATCGACCAGGCCAATCTCCAGACTTAGTCATCTTTGATATGCATTAGAAACATGTATCAGAAATCGATCTAACAATCTAAAGAATTTTAAAGAACTTGAGGCTGCTTTAAAAGATGAATGGAATAAAATTCCTCAAAGCGTTTTAGTGAATTTGATTGAAAGCATACCTATATAGAAGAATTTGGGCTTGTATAGAAAGCAAAGGACACAACTAGATATTAGAAGTATAATTAGTTGTTAAAATTTTAAGCTAAATTGTTACATAGGTTTTTAAGTAACAAAATAAAAAATTTCAAAAACTTTCGTGATCGTCGAAGAAATCTAATTTCCTTTATTTATTCTACGAAATCTAGAGCCGTGAATTTTGAATAGACGTTCACAAGAATCCAAGCTACGAACAATATATGTTTATTATCTATGCTTTTGCGTAATTAACAAAACGAGTTTTTAACCTTATTCTCTAAATAAGCACCTTCGATGGTGGCAAGTCGCTTCTCATTACCCTTTTATAGTTAATGAATAACAAAGTATTGACAATCATTCATTATAACATTTATAAATTAATTTGGAAAATTAGTTATACTTGCTTGCTCTTACCATAGATAATTAATTAATTTACAAAAATCGAACCATTACTTCGTATTTCTTTAATCAGCAATAAAAATATCACGCGAAAAGATATGAAGGAGAGTTAATACATACAGCATTCTATCAACTATATTGAACAATTGAATGGTTATAGAGGATATAGCATCCGGAAGACTAGCTGTACTATAGCAAGCCTCAATTTTGTAAGACATGGAATAATCCATGCCTTAGTGCATGCAATAACTCTCAAAATAAGGTCTGTACCGGTTCAGTTGGTCCTGATTGTGATATATAAAAAAATTCTCACAATTTTTGTTATTCTATTTTTACTTTGAGAAATTCCAACCCTTTTTTTCAAGAAGTTATAAAAATTTAAAGAGAAACACGGGTTTTTAAAGTACTATTTCCAGCTCTGTATGGAACCTATGGCGAGGAACATTTTAGCTTGGAAACAAACTTAATGAAATTTGTACGGCGTGTAAAAACCCTATCTAACTTTAAAACTTGATAAGATCAAAAAATTTTCTGTTTGTATCACGTGATCTGGAGATCTATAAAATCAAGTATTTAAATAATATCATCAATAAAGCTCCACGCGAACTTTAATCTCAACAAAACCTTTATATTTTTTTATCCAAATGACACTAAACCAAACCCTTTACTTCAAGAATTAATTGAAGCAAGAGGCCATAAAGTCATCTTCTACCCGAAATTTCATTGTGAACTTAAGGGAGTGCCCAAAATGACATAATTTCGCTCCGATATAAGCTCATACACCCCATCCCAAAATTTTAATTATAAATTTCGATTTCACATAGTTTCAGCTTCACATACAACAGTTCACAAAAATTTTGATAAAAATGAAAAATGAATTTTATTGGATCATATTACGTGTAACGTCGAAAGCTCTCCCCAAAACCGAATGATGTCATTTTGGGCACTCCTCTAACTACGTGGGGGGACTACTAGATGATATGTCGACAACTATTTAATTAATTAACTTGGAAAGGTCTTCGAGGTAGTGACACAAATGGCTTTAATCCCATACCGGTGAAGCAGATTAGAAAAGAGCTTCAAAGTATATGGATTGCTGCGGGAAAGAATAAGCTGAATATGTGATTAAAAATATAAATACCATCAAAGAATTATATAGAAAAAATAGATGAATGAATTAATATAATTAATGAAAGTCATGTGGTAAATTTTTAATGACATTTTTGTAAAGTGGTCAAATAAAAATCGAAAATGGAAACATTTTGGTGGGTTATAGTGTTGCGCAGTATATAAAATTCGATTGCGCAATATATATAAGACGGAAAATTCATTTTAAAATCCGTTGTCACAATTATTAATCTCGTCATAGTAATAATAATAACAGATTTCATATGTTTTTATGTATTTTAAATACATTATAATACAAATTTAATTATAATACATGCAGCAAGGTTCTACTGTATTGGTTTTGTTGAGTGGAGAATTTATTTTCTTATTTGAATGAATCCATTTGAAATAATCCTTTGTAATATTCTTTCATATCAATATATGCGCGCCAATTTTTACCATATACAAATTCAGAAAAGGCGGATTATTTTTAGCAAAAAGGTTGCTGTACAAGTTACGAATCATTACAGTATTTAGAAATTCATAATAATATATGGCATAAATTTGGAATCACACGATTCATAGCTTTGAAGTGCATAATTGATGATCCGTGTTACATAAATAAAAAATTACAAAGATGTTGTTGATGGCTTTCAAATAAGTAGTAAGTAGATTTATAAAAAAAAAATTTTGTTAATGGCACAAAATTCTAGCAGAAAACAAATCATCACTTCTTTGGATAAAAATAAATCTGAATGTCAATAGATCAGTTAAAGTTAAAAGTATTTATAGAAGCAGATATACCTTTAGAAAACATTGACTCATTGAAACATTTTTTAGAGAAAATTTTAGGATTTAAAAATATTGATAAATAAGATAATAATAATTGAAACATTGTGCATGATTTTCATAATCTACCAAATGTTGCATGCATAATTTAAATAATTCGCATAAAACCGACGTCTAAGCCATCAAACACTGCGCCATATGAATAAAAAATTTTTTTTGATAGGGAAGAACCAGAAAATACGTGATTAAGAGTTAAGGGCTGACACTCCTCTTCTTGTGACTCAACATTTGTGTACCAAATTTTTTACTATGGTGCGTCAATTTCAAAGATTTGAAAGTTCAAAAATTTTTCGAAATCGTGTGATTTTGAAATTTTCTTAATTCGTATGGAATTTTTCTAAGATTTACATATTTTTACTGTATATAAAGTTTCTAGACTTGTTAATCAATTTCTGCAAGCATCCTGTTTTTCTTGAAATTTGCCTTTTCTGATGGTTTAAAAAGACCAAATTTAGAATAATCGCCAAAATTTCGCGGCCAAATTTTTCGTAAAATGAATGTAATAGAGCTCAACAACCAATTAAAAATATCTCTGTCACGTTAATTTTGGATCTCAATCTATGATGCAGTAAGAAAGTTATTTTTTAGAAAGGACAGCTTCCATCTTTTAAAATTTACGTGCAAAAATGGAGCCAATCAGAGCGTATCACGTTACATGCATCAAAAGCACTACAATATACTACAGTCAGATATTTTACTCGCCCCGAATAATCATGGTGGACGGTACATCTGTGATTTAATAGTAAGTTTAAATCCAAATTCCATGTTTGCTTAGGACCCTGGATTATCATAATCCAGTGGGGTGTCCCACATCATATGATTAGTCACATATTAATATATAAATTTTCGTTAATAAGGATTTTTTAGAATTTATCACAAAAAAAAATTTTTTAAATTTTATAATTTATTTGGGGCATTCTGCAACAAAACCAGACAAAGTGAACATTGTTATTTCAGGGATCAAAATTTAGTTATTATCATCACAATTAGTTTTATAATGTCCCATTTGTTAAGTGATATATAGAACTATCCCTATATAAAAATAGTTAATATGAAGTTAATTTATATTAGGTCTACCATGGGACCCAAAAATTACAGCACCATTTGAAGTATTTTGAAAAAGGAACAAGATGAAAAAATTGCTCCTTACATTTTCAAAATAAATGATACTCAGACATCGGAAGCTTATCTAAGAAAAGAAAGGATTACTTATGAAATTTACCAAGAAGAAAGAAAAATAATAAATGTTGGAAAAAGAAACCATCATAATGATGTATTATTAACTAATAAAAAGCAGGAAT